TGTTTTTGCTGATTCAAGGGCAGTTTGAAGCTTGCCTTGTTTAGTTTGGGATGTTCTAGTCCTTCACTTTTATATGAAAAAGAGGATTTGAGGAATATGAGAGAGGCTCATAGAAAAGAAGGGGATAAAGATGTGATGAAATCTTAGATTTGAGGGATTTTGAATAAATTGGATTTGTTTTTTGTTTTGTTTGCATAGCTGAGGTCTAGCGAGGTCATTCAAGGCGCATTTCAAGGCCGAACAGCCAGAGTTCAAGAGCTTTGTTTGCTCTTCTAGCTATGCGGCATATTTCGCACAACCCTGACAGACATTTCATTGTACATTAAGGGAATATTGACGCTTTCCACGATATAAAGAGATCAGAGACTCAATTTCAGGAAAGGCTGAGAAATTTGCAGAGGAACAGCAATGCTGAATAATACGTCGTTCTCACTTCCCAGTAAACGTCACAAATTTTTGAAAGTTAAATGTTTCAAATCTTAGAGGAAATGACCGCCTCACTTCTACTATTTGGACACAAGCAAAAAATTTTTCAAGATTTCCATACATCCTTGTTGATTCATAATGGCAAATTAAGAATTTTAATTTTAGAATTTTAATGACCCTCATTTGAGGAAGAAGATGTTGTTGTTACTAAAAGAAAATGAATGCTTTGAATTGCAATTGATCATGTCGCAAATGCTATTTCTGAGGAAAACTCACTTAGTGTTGTACACATATTCATTTGTGCATACTTTATATACATTCTTTATTAAATTTTCTCAGCAAACCTGCAGTAAAACCGACAAAAGTACAATGGATCTTTGCTCGCTTTTCCACCAGTACTTCTTTTTATCCTGATGACTTCAATGAAAATGTATAACCTCTTCTTTCCCATGAATGATTACAACTAAGATGACGTTTGTCTTGTCCGTAGCAAATTTCGTCATTTTACTGTTTTTTAAAAGCAGCTGAACAAATTGCGGTTCATTTTCCCTATATTTTATCCTGACCCTCTTGAATGAAAGGAACTTTCATTAAGGACTTATTCATTTATAGAAATCATCTGGAATAAATCAAGAAAGAGTGAATAGATGCATCAACTCATAAAAACACTGTGGAAAC